TTGTATGGTCAATGCCTGACTACTCCGAGCGAGGACGACGATGGGAGAGCTGAAAAGACTGCGCATCATCACATTGGTGTGAGACTGTAGACTTCCAAAGGCACTGTAACCACAAGGGGTTAGGTTAGGCGAATATGTTAGATGTAGCATATCACATTCCCAGTAATGCGCTAAGTCTGTCTGTGTGTCTGTCTGTTTGGCCGTCTGTCACGAAATCACGAAATTTGGTACTACCTAAAGAAGCATTTACAGAGTCCAGGCCAATTTTGAGCTGGGTGAAGCATGGTAAAAACAAAAGACACATCATATCATATCACCTGGACGGGAGGCACGCGTCGAATTGGGCGGTACCGATGATAAAAGTTTTGAGGGTTGTAAAACAGCCCGAAGACTGGAAAAAAAATGGGTAGCGGTGTGCAATGAGCCAATAAGTCTAATCAAGGAGACTCTCGCGGTGGACGGGCGGTGCTCAATAAAAAATTCCTGTTAGGAAAGAGCCTAATAAGCACAACAAAAATCGTTTTAGGAGAATGATATCTGAGGTGTTCTCAGCATACTTGAACTGGATGGAGGCTCTCCCACAAAGGGCAGAGCGTATTCATGAGTGGACGGTGTTTATTACAAATTCTCATAACTCGGTTCCAAGCAGCCGCGAGACCGAAAAAAGAGGGTATAGGTTGGTAAAGGAAGGGAGATTACCTGTTGTCGGTGGTGGAGCTTGCACTGAAGTGGGCGGAGCTTGCCAAGACACTTATGATTCGGTTCAGGGAGGTCCCAGAAACCGGGGAAAAGTGGGTAGAAGGAGAGAAGGTTGAACTCCGATGGTGGGCGTAGTGTGCACCGAAGTGGGCGGAGTTTGCCACAGAACATAGTACTCGGTCCCAAAAGACCAGGAAACCGGGAAAAAGCTGATAGAGATGGCGAAGAAGAGGGTGGGGGTGTGCCGATGTGCGCAGTTTGTCAGGAAGATTCTAGCAATATCGATGGTCCAGTTTTATCTCACTGCAGTCCCGTGTGATGCACGCGAATGTGTGCGCAGCCAAACTGGTCCAACATATTTACCTAATCTAATCCCTCATGGTTAGTAAGGAAGTTTTGAGGGAGGGAGCTTCTCTCGCAATTGTTTCAGTGATAAAGAATCCACGTCGCGGAAAAAGTCCTAAGGAAATTTCTCAAAATCGAGCATTGGTGTAGGCGGAATACTCTGCAGCGAGGGATGACGTTCCCACCCATCGTATTGCAGACATTGTTGATCGCCAACGTGAAGTCATGACCATGATGTCCGTAGTAGACAATGGCTTCGAAAATTGGCAAGTAGCTCAAGTTTTCTGGATGGCACTAATAAATACCCTTTGCGGCGACTTTGTGTACCAGTGGGTGGGAGCAGCAAGCATGTCGTGCCATGTCACACATAGTTTTTACCCACATTTTTTGGCAAAAAAAAGAGAATTGGAAGAAGTTGGTTGCACAATTGTTGAAGGACTTTTCTCCCAAAGTATTCAATGTGGATTTCCTGGAAAATATGTACGTGATTAGTTGGATCTCCTCCGCAGACGGAATAAATGACCCCATTCTGGGTTCTCAGAACGCCCAAAGCGATGGGTTGTCCAATTCGTTTTGCTTTCTAACCACTGCATCTCCTTTTGAAAAGTGTTCTTACTTCCGCAAATTAATCAGTCAACGGAATGAATTGACTCGATTCCTTCAAAGTACCGCAGCAAAACCAAGGAAAGGACAGAACACTTATGGTTCCTTGATTTTTGCTCACTAAAGGCATAGACATCGATAGCGATCCCATAATCAGTTCACCGAAAGATCACGAAAGCACAGCTACTGATAAAGGGTTATCGGCCGACTGTTACTGCAGACCAATCAAACGGTTTTCTTCATTACGCGGTCAACATCAAGGTCACCTTGTTATTTTTTGAGCTCTGGTAGTCTCTGAATCGGAAGAGACTATTGCAGTTCAGTAATATGACCAGCAGAATTCTATTTTGCTAAACCCTCGAACTAGTAATCCTTGACAATAGGCATAGCGCTCTTAGTGCTAAACAGAGTGTTTTTCTGCTTACAAGTAAATGTGAAGTTTTGTTTGTTACTGCTGTTTTGGGCCGCAGTTCGCCTTTCGAAAGTTTCACAAAAATACTGGGTTATGCACAAAACTTTCGCCTCAGGCGGTGGTCCCGCTTGGGGCGAAAGTTTTGTTCATAACCCAGTATTTTTGTGTATATGTGTAGTATTTTTTTGGAATTTGTAAAACCCTTCAAATAAAACTCTAACAAGTTTGGAGAGTAATATTGACTTTCCGGTAAAAACATATGTAAATCAAGATAATAACAAAAATGAGTTAACTTGTTTTGTTTGTTAAAAAATTATTAAATAATTTATATTTTTCAGAAAACAATCAGAAGTAATTAAAAAATGAATTACTTCGATTCAATTTGTTCCTATATTGAACATAATAATTTCATTAAAAAATGTACTGTTTAACACATTCACGACGACGCCCCTTTTCCACTTTTCGGTCGCGTGGGACGGACGCGATTTTGTGGGCGCCGCCGCCTCACCACATAACCGCAGATTTTGTACTTGTAAATGAACAAAAACATGAATGTCACAAAATAATTTCTGCAATGTCCAATGCGTAAAGATTATCTAAACATATAATAGTAGGATTTCGATCAAAACGACGAGTAGTGGTAATGAAAAGGAGCATTCATTCATTTTCCTCGCAGTGGAAGCTAAAAACATTTTTAACTCGGTTGTTTCGCTTTAACCACATATCTTTTCATTCATAGTGCTTTGTCTTTACAACTATCTTTTCATTCACATATTTGTGGCAATAAAAAGAAAAGAGAATAATCAAACTAAAAATCTAATACCTCAAAAAACCTTTCTAAAATCAAGCATATGTAACTTTCGATGAATCCTGTCGTTTACGGTCACGCATGAGTCCCTATTTCATTCGTTTATATCAGATACCCAAAAATAAATGACGATATAAATGACTGGCAAGCGATTATTAGCTGGCAGCCCATATGAGGCTGCCATCGTGCCACGAGCACCCTTCTTTGGCAGGCCATATGGGCTGCCACCGGCGTGAATGTGCTAAAGAAGAAGGATTTTTTACGTCGTTATAGGTATGTATGGATGAGCGCGACATGCAGTGACTTTTAGGCAGGCGTGCTTGAAGAGTATCAAAACACCTCACGTTTTTCAGTACTTTGTCGCAAATGTCGTATAGCTGCGGTGAAAACACACTAAAGGTCTCAGCAAAACTGTTTGCTGAGAATCGAGCCCGTCTTGTCGCAGCACTCAAGGTTCCTTTTTTTTACATTATCCTATGAGAACTTCTCCCGACCACTCCTACATGGTTGCTTCCGGTGCTTTGCTAGGAAGCTTACAATTAGAATTTCTAGATAGCTACTCATTACTAATGATAGAATTTGACGCCTGCATCTTCAGAATGTTGCGCCAGGAAGTGTAGTGCTTCTACAAGGAGGAATCGAAAAGCATCGTTACAATACTGACTCAGAAGATTTACCGTTCAGACAGGTAGTTGCTCGCTTTTATAAAAACTTTCACTGTCCCTGACAAGTCTGTTACCAATAATAAAAGCGCTCGTGTTGCTACGTATAATAGATGTATTGGTAACTGTATGCCGTATGGCTGCCAAGTGCATGGCGCATCTTGAAAAGCTGAGCATTTCCGAGTAATTCTTGCATCGTGGCAATTTCGAGCATTGTTCCATAATAGGATATTTTGCTCAGGAATCTTACTTCTTTTGGACCTTCGCGCGTGTCACGAAAGACGTTTTTTTTTGGAACTTTCGACGTTGACACGGGAAAGTCATGCCTGTTCTCCCACGCTCGATCCCAGCTATGGTATTTGGGCGGGTAAGTGTGTTTTAGAGGCATTTTCGCTGTTTATTCAGAAACACAGTGAACAGTAAGGCTACAAAAGTCTCCCTGTTGAGGATTCACGACGAATCGTTTTTTAAGAAGAAATACGAAGTTGACGAAGTTCATTTCTTGGATGGAAATACCATAAGTGACTACCTCAAAGGAATCAAGGCCAAAGAAGTCTGGCTATTGGTGAGTGTAGGAATTATTTTTAATTAGAAAGCAAATTTTCAACAATAAATGAAATTTGTTAAGAAAGCGGAAAACTCCGACAGCGGCAATGTTCTGCCACCCGCCTGAATTTTCCCCGGAAAGATCCGTTATGTTTTGTTTCCAAAGTTTTACGCTCATTAGGTGGTTCTTGACACCTACTGTGTACGATATTACATTGATATTGTATATTTAGTGCGAGTTTTCGCGAAACCGCTCCTTTAGGTATGTAAAGCCGCGACACTTTTTGTTTGAGTCTGATCGCAATATAGGGAGGGTAAAAACGGAGAAGGAAGAAGAACAACCTTCACACATTGCATCTCCTCGACTGCGTAAAAGAAAAGACGCGGTCCCAAGCAGGGTCACTCCTATCGTTGTTACTTTTTCAAAAAATTTTACCCCGGTGGACTTGATACGACCCCCTTTTCCACCCTCGACGACCATCATCATCAAGGGGTGGGGTATATATGCGAGCTGAAACGGCGAAATTTTTCTCCCATGCGCTCATGCGCTCCCAAGCTCCTGCGCTGCTGCTCACCTAGACTCACTGCTTACTACTCGCGAAAACTCCACTTTCACCACAACCTCACATGTACTTTCCAACCAGGGCTTTTCAACCAGGTACGACCCCCCGTTGTACTTAGTAACAGCGTAGGATTGACCCTGGTCCCAAGCGTCCCAAGCCGCAGACGCTTCTATTCAGTGAAAATTAAACAGATTACGTACAGAATTTGTGTAAGAAAAACTCTCCTCGGGTTCCGTGCGTGAAGCCGAAGACGCCCTCTATTCAGTGAAAATTGAACAGATTACGTACACAATTGGTGTAAGAAAAACTCCTTCGGGTTCGGAGCAGTCCGCATGATCTTAAAATGATGAACGTTTTCAGATTTGACGTCGACGTCAACAAGTTGTATCCAATAATCGCCGACTTACGCGTTTTCAAAACAGACAAAGAGTTGGAGGTAAGAAGCTTTCCGTAGTGAAGTCAAGGGAGGGTCACTTACTAGCTCTCTTCCCATAACATCACTTGTTAATGTATGCTCTCAAGGTTATGAGGTACGCCAGCAAAATCGCTTCTGAAGCTCATCGTGCTACCATGAAAGCGATCCGTGCTGGCCTGTACGAATATCAAATGGAAAGGTACTACTATAGCTACACGGGTTTCCATTCCATCAGAAACCAAGCAGCAACAAGCGCAGAAGTCAGACTGCGAAAATGGCAATATGAAGCTCCAACGTCAGGAATGTACAGGGTGGGCAAAAATTACGGTGACAAGACAGACAGATCAAGGAAAAGATCAGGAAGACACAATTGGACAGCATTGATGGGAGGCTGTCGCAGAATACACATCTCTTCTCGAACTGGCCGCTGTCTACGTTGATACCTCAGCGCTAAGAAGTTTTGCCCAGTCTCTGCTACTGATAGGGTACTGAGCTAGTAGTGTCCAATCGCAACGGCAAAGACGAAACGAGCTGTGAACTTCAACCTCATACTGGGCCTGCGGTCACTTTTGATGAGCGCCCCTTGCACCCTAAATTGGGAGTGCCTCCGGACGTTGCTACCAGGGTATTGTAGCAGATACCTGAGCGCAGCCGATGCACGCCATCAGTATGGCAAGGACTGCTGCAGAATGAAGTTTTGATGGAAACCTTATGGTCCGGCCGACCATGAGCGAGAAGCACGCCTGATCCATCTGGGGAAAATCCATTCTGGGACGGCAAAAGCAGAGCCTTCCCTAATCGGTCACCAGTGGAAATGAGTCATGAGTCCACTGCGACAACAACATGCGGCACGTCTGATGGCTGCCTCGCAGCCAGGAAGCACCAGCTCAACCAAAGCCCGAACTCCGTTTTCTGAGAATATCGCTCTCGTTTGTTGGATTCGCTAGGTGGCCTGGTTTGGGAACCACTTCAATGTATGAAGACAAGCATTGCTAAAGTCAGCGCGGAATAGCCCTCTAGGCTGGCTTCGGGGTTGCGAGGGAATCGTCAGAAACGTCTCAGATCTCCTTTCTCCGAATGTACGCCAGACCTCACATTGCAATGCCAACTCACCACGTTTGAGGGAGATAGCCAGGGCCACGATACCTCATCCACCATATAGCATTGGCATGCTCCATCGAAGTATCCACTGTGCCCTGAATCAGCGAGCGAAAAAAGGTGAAGGAATCGTCCCCGAAAAATGGATGCATTCTTTTCCGACATGAAATGCCAGTTGTGATCACCAGAGACAACGTACAAATTCTCACGCGAAGAACTTAGTTTCCGAAGAGAAACATAACTTACGAAAACCACACTATTAAGACGGCCAAGGGTAAGTCGG